GTTACATGTATTTACATTAACAATAATTTAAAAAAAAATGTTTGTGTGATTGTTTAGACAATGCAGTAGTGAATGTTATTTGTGTCATCATCTTACCAATCAAGTACGCATTCTACTTATTAGGTCAAAAGTCATCTATATTACTTGCAAAACATTTTGGACGATAAAATTTCAGATGCTTTATTTCGGACATTTGATTTTCAGATACTTTATCTCATTTCAGACAAATTTCAGACAAAAAGTTCAGACACTTGGCAGAAACAAATTAATAGCTAAGGCAAATTTATGCACAAAAAACATGAATTAAACCAAAACAACAGCTGTGAAAATGATAGTTTAACTGCTCCCTCGAGGTTTTACAGATACACTGACACGCTGTTACATATCTCAAGCAGTGTCATAATTAGAGTTCCTTCCATATTAGGAAACTAAGAGCTTTGAAACTGCTTAAAAGTATAATACTGTATTGTAAATATTTTGGACGCTTAAAAATTTTGGATGGTTTTATTTTCGGACACTTCTTTGTCCGAAATTAAACTTGTCTGAAATTTTTTGCGAGTAATTTGTAGGTAGTCCTATGTTGAGTTAAGAATTATGATAAAGACTTCTCTATTGTACTATTTACAGGAATTATATGTATCATTATATTAATCGATACTGTTTATATTGACAAAAACTTTCTATAAAGTCAAGTTACTGTTATTAAAGGGAGGGTTTCACGGCTTGGCACATGTCTCTAAATCAAAATACTTTTGTTTGCTTCTTATCAATGTTATCGCTTTAAAAAACCCCACTCAGATGTAGTTAATTAATCACATGCTATAGTTAGTCGTCCCAGAATGATGGATGACCAAAATTCTCAGGTTTCAGTGGATTTTACAGACACTGTCGACTATTGAATTTAGTGTTGACCTGTACAATTTATTCCATTGCTGATGATTTTATGGCTATTTGCATGCGAAATAAGGTAAGTTGTTTATGATTGGTTCATAAACAATGAAAAACTGGGCCAGTGCCAAAAAGCATGCACACGCGAATAAATAATACAGACATGCGCCGAACCGAGAAACTCTCCCTTTAATATTAACTGTGCAAGTATTCAATTTCTGACTTGTTGTCCTCCATGTCTTCATGATACTTCCTTACAACAGAGGACTGGGGATGAGTCAGATTCAGTTTTT